AGAAGCAAACCAGTGTCCGTAGGAGACAATAGGAACGCATGAGGATGGGAAGTGGTGGAGGCCATCCCCACACCCAATGCCAAGTGCAGAGAAGATAGCCTAGAAAGCTCAAGAACCTGTACAGAAGTTGAATGACAGGCAAGAGGCGGGACTAAGAGCCAAAGCTCATCCCCAGCAAGCACAACTAGGTGAGGACAACTAGGGAAGTACAGAGAATCCAATGTATAGGTACATGGAAAAGGGAAGCCTGGTACAGCAAGACCAGCAAGGAATGAGGGACTCAGAAAATCATGGGAACAAGGAAGGCCCCAGGAAGACGCACAGAAGGGCCGAACAAAACGCCCCAACCATACCCCAACACGCACCGGCAGTACCAAAACTGCAGCAAAACGTTACCACATAACACCCCTGGACACAGGAACATGTACCCCATATCAGGCACCTCCACCCAAACACAAGCATACCCCGAAACACAAGCATTGGTGGACATGCATAGGAGAGGGACTGGATGGGCATAGTCAGGAGCTGCCTCGTATGGGCCAACAGGCCTCCTGCAGTCACCTGTGATCTGACGTTCGAATCGGGAGGCAAGGAACAAGAGCTGCCACGTATGGGCCAATAGGCCCGCTACAGGCACCCCCTGCTTGTATGTTTCATGTTCTCATGTACGTATGTACTCCCATTCGTACCCCTAAAATGAACCAGCACCTGAACGAAAGAGACGCCAGACCACATAAACTCACCTGCAGAACATAGGCACGGAAGGGTCATGACAATGTTACTAGGTTGGTGCTGCCGAAGGCGGCGAGGGTATTGTGCACCCGTAGCCCAGAAAAACAGGAGCACCACCCGTGGAAGCAGGCCAGAGCCGCTCATGCAGGAGAAGAGGAGGAGAGAGGCGAAGAAGGCGCCCCCCCACCCAAAACGCAGGGAAAACCTGGCGTCCTCCCCATAGCGGCATTCCAGAACACCCCCAGGAGCAAACGGGGCACGGACTGGAGAATGAGAAGAGCGAGAGGCAAAGCACTCAAGAGAAAATGGACAGAGAACACCAGCACTTGTGCACACCGCCCAAACCAAAACAAACTCCAATGGCGCATGCACAGGACACTAAAGTAGCCCAACAGTTTGTATCCCGAGTGATTAGCTTAAGAGAAGAAACAGCCCAACGCACGGGAACAGATACCAAAAAGGAGTAAGCAACGACACACATAGCCGGCCCAGTTAATGAAAACAATGAACCGAACTGGAACCCAACTGGGCTACCAGGAGCCCAACTGGGCGACAAGTAGCCCAACCGGGCCACAAGCAGCCCAACCTGGAATCCCGGACCAGGAGGATGAAAGAAAAACGAGCAGTGCCGAGACAACACGGAGTGAAGATACATGAACAAAAGAACGAGACAGGGCCGAAAACCAAGAGGAAACATGGAAGAGGACCAACAAGCCCTAGAAAGGACCGGAGGGAAGCCTCACCAAAAGACGACATACGTTCCAATAATACAGGAAGGAGCAAAAACCATCCTGAACCTTTGAGAATACAGAAGCAAGTACAAATGACGAAGGCATAAAAAGGGCCAGTCGCACCCGAGACCAAAAGTCATACAGAAGCCCAAGAAGAGAGGAACATGACGGAGAAGTCCCGTCCCAAGAAAAAGGGGGGAATAACGGAGAAGAGCACCCACCAACAGGATGAAACCAACGGGCTTAAGGAACAACAGACCGAGCCCGTGGAGAAGCTGACGCCCAACAACTCGTGTGGAGAGTGGGGAAGGAAAACCACACTCCGCACAACCGCAAGCCTCGCCCAGAGGGTAGAAAAAAACCCGGCAGGGTCCAACGGGGCCTGAGGCCCCCTAAGTCAGCTCCTCCCAAGCCCCAGGAACCCATACGGTAGGCCCTAGGGCCGAGCCGTCTCCCCAAAGCCCCAGCCTCAAGAAAAAACCGAGGCAGCCGTGAAAAGCACAAAGGAAGGGAGCCCACTGGCAGACTCTTACAGCACGGCTGGAGGAACAGGCTCCAAGGCCCCCGTCGCTACTCCAGGAGCGGAATTCCCTGAGACCAACAGTCTTTCAAAACCACGGAAACCCCGCCCCGACCCCGAATCCACAGACGGCAAGGACCCAGATACAGGGAGGAAAGGGGGGGAGGGAGCCGACAAGACCACCAACCAAAACGGGGCAGCCTCAGGGCTTCCGGAGAGCAAACAACCTAGCACGTTGCCGCCGAAACCCAAAGTGCAACGCCCGTGCTGCCTGCACCCACATAGTCAGCATAAGACTGGGTAACCGAGTCACAAACAAGCAACAAAACTCGCAGGACTCAGGGTCGAAGGTGTCACCGACCGACAAAACCGAGTCACCCTGAGACAAGGGTGACTCAAAGCAACCCTCGAACTCGCACAAAGCGAGGGGTGGGGACTTCGGGGCCACATCCATCAGGCCCACGCTTCCCCTAGGGGTTTCCCAGGGTCCTGAGCGTTTACTATAAAAGGACTCGCGCTTAGGTAATCCCAGGCAGGGTACTTACTGCTAACCGGCGCCCATGTCTACCAAACAACTTTCTAAAAACAATCCCCGGGACGTGTACACTTACGGGGAACTAGCAGGGGGAACCACTGGAAGAAGGAAGAGAACTCGGTACAAAAGTGGGGAAGAACCAAAGGCAGACCCCCCACCAGGTAGACAAACAAAAAGAAAAAGAAAACCCAGCAAAAGTACAGCGTACCCAGGCGGAACAAAGCCAGCCACTATGATTGGTGAAAACAAGCTGTGCAGTACCCTGCGCCCCGCCAGTGCAAACTGCCCCTAACCCTAAGGCGAACAAGGGAGACAGAATCCCCTATTACACAAAGGGCGGCCGAAAACCAAGCAGCAAACGGCCTAGCAGAAGCAGGACCCAAGGAACTTGTGGAAGGTAACCCCAAGGGCAGTACTTACAGGGCACCTAGGGAAGGGAACCCTAGATGCATGCAGCCCGAGTACTGGAGACTCGCCCCCGGCTCATGCACCACCTAGAAGACAGACACCACACTCTAGGTACAGTGCTGAAACAACCACTGGAGTCAGAGCATACAACCGGTGTCACTAGCATCAGCCGAAGAACTGGGGTGTGGATCGCCGGCGCGGTAGGCTGGGGCTTCCCTTCCCCCTCAAAGGGAGGGAGGGGGGCTGCGCAGAAGAAAACCCCGCAAGAGTACAGCGTACCCAGGCACGGCAACGAATGACAGCAGCGCGACGATGAATGATGTCATACTAGTTTGCTCGTTTTTGTTTGGGAAGTTCTATCCACTCGTTCGGCTTTTGGTTGCAATTTTCACCAGAATAGGAGTTTGTTTTTGGACGCCTACCTTTCTGGGTGCCTAACCCGGTCAATGGCAGACATAGTATGCTTCCAACCACATGGGGGTTTCTATAGGCCATTGCTCCCCTTGCCTCTCTGAGGGGGCCAGGTTCTGGCTCGTGGTCCCCGGTAGGCCCATAAAAACTCCGTACACATGATTGATGCCAAAGTCTGACATTAGCATATCAGCCTGGTAAGCTCCGGGGAGCCGTAGGGGCTCCCACCAGAAAAAAGAGGCGACATGATCACTACATACAAAATAGTAGCAGGAATAAAAAAATTGACAAAGAGGATTTCTTGACACCAGCAACATCAAAATCAAGAGGTCATAGATTCAAGCTAAGGACACAAAGGTGCCTAAAAATATTAAACAGTTTTACTTTGCAGAGTGGTAGATGGTTGGATCAAGTGAGAAGGCAGTGAATGCCAAAACCATCAGTTGTTTCAAAGCATTATATGATAATACTATGAAGATGAGATACCATGAACATAGCTCTTACCTGTAACTACACTTAGGTAATTACTATTATGTAATATACTACACCTAACACTTTCGCGCTTCGTTGTCCCCGATCCAAGTTGCTCATTTTTCTCTCGAGTCCTCTCGGATGACTCGGTCCGGAGTCACTCATTAAAATATTTGTTAAAAATGTAAATTTTATCCGATCAATCTGCTAGTGCTTTCAAAATGAGCGCCTTTAGATTGAGCACAATTTAGCACTTTCTCACCCATATGTCGCTTGAGCGTGACTTTTTTTTTCCTTGAAAACACCTCATGCGGCATTTGAAAAAATATTTCTATAAAATCCAATTCTTATCCGATCGACTTGGGGATTGTATAAACATGTTTGCCATGAAATTTTCGTTTTCTCTAATAGCCACATAGCCTATTTGGGAGAACGGCATCATCATGGTAAGACCATTGTATTCTTGACACGATGAGTGTAATCAACGTAGTTTTTTATTTGGTGCCGGTCTAACGCATCCTTGTCTGACATTGTATACATATGTTCTTCTAGAACATTCTATTGCAAACACATTGGTGTTAAAATTAAGTATGTACATCGAAAATTAAGGTCAGGACAGTGAAAAGAGTATACACTTTTAATTTTTCTGCCGTCGGGTGTGCGGTAACGGGTAACACTTCAGCTACTTCCCACACTCTTGCAGGTGGGCCGCGATCATGATTCTACATTTATATGCATATGTCCATGTAGGGAATATTATTGCGGTCACAGTGATACCAAAATTAACGACGTAGAAAAATTCTGGGGTTGATAAACATAAAAAGATCAAACATTTCAGCGCGGTTTGATGCTCACAGCTAACGATCGCCATAGTTTTTTATTTGGTGCGGGTCTCATGTCGGGTTGGGTGAAATTTTATATATATATTCCTCTAAAGCATTCTCTTGCGAACAAATTTATACCAAATTTAAATACATACATGGAATATTAAGGTGAGCAGACTGAAAAGATTATAAACATTTTAGTGTTGCCACGTGGTCGCCAGAAACGAACGGCGCACAAGGGAAAACGTGCCAGCCCACTACCCAGAGCGCGATAGTGCTAAGACATGGAAGGTCTAATAGCAGACATGTATAAGAAGTGTTAGAACATTTGAGATGTAGATATAAAACACAACTATAACGTTACATACCATGAGACACGTAGTTGGACACTCGGCATATATAGACACTGAAGATAGGTGTTCCAAGGTGCTGAATGTCAAAACCTTCACCTCACCCTTGGGATTAAATCCATCTTTTAGACAAGATGCTTCAGTAGCAGTTAATTCTACCTTGTGCATCCTTCGTGGCTTTAACTTTTTTTGAGGAGAAGATAAACGTTTTTCATCTACATTTTCCACATCCAACTTAATATCTGGAATTCCACAATCAGATAATCTGCAAAGACTACTCTTCCTTTGTAGAATGTTAGGTATAGGTGTCGAACTTCTCTCTCCAGGACCGATGCATTTTCTTGGACTACCAAGCAGACATGGTGAACTACCAACACGATTAAGGCTAGTTAGCGAGGAACTCAAAGGCTTACGATCCCTCAGGTTTGCTACCGTCAAATTTAGTGGTTTCTCAAAGTCCTTTTTTTCCAATTCAGACTGGCCTTGAATAGCAGATGTAACAGGTGAAGTTCCAAGCATCTGTTGGGAGCGTTGAACAGCTGAAGATTTATCATCATAACCATTCTGGAGTGTTGTTTCTGAAGGAGGCCCAATAATAAGGTCCGACTGCTGTGCTAACAAAACTCCAGATTCTAGAAGTATTACACGACAAGGTACCTGTGTTCTCTCACTTATATCTCGTACCTGAAAAAAAAAAAGTAAATAATCACACATTCATATGACGAGAATACGTTCACATGATACACATGTTTTTTGTTTTAAAGATAAATGATAGCAAAAAACAATTAAAATATTTAAAAATATGCCATCAGATAAAAACAAAATGGAATTTTGTTTTTATCTGATGGCAATTGCATGCAATGTCACCAGTTTACAATGGCTGACAGCTTTACCAAATGTCAATCGGAGTCTTGAAACTACAAGAGCAAGCTACAGGACCAGAGTGCACTTGATCAAGTAAGGAGTCATCTCTGTGCAGCAGTTCCCCTCATCATGTTGATTGTGAGAGTCAACTTCAATGCTATAGCTTGAGCTACCTCATCCCTTTGTGTGTATTTTACCTCAATAAACTTATTTCAATTTCAATTTCACTTCAATGCTACAAGAGCCCTTCTCTTCTCAATGAACAACTTCTCAAAGGGTCCTCATCAAAATTTATCATTTATAACTAAAGGCTTAGTGGTGTTGGAACTTTAGACATAGTGCAGAAGGCGAGTATAGTGCAGAAGACACCTATGCAGGTGGCAGTATCCAAACACAATTGTAAACTTAATGTTTATTCACAAAACGTATGTGCTACTACATCAACTTGTCCTCTTACTAAAAACGTAGCAGTTCAATCGTACGAGTTACATAACGCCAAAAATTGTCTTACTAGAAAATGGAAGCAGCTCGCAAAAGTGACATACTGTCCCGTTTTCTGTTTTGGGTCCTCTGGTAGGCTGCGAGAGGATACTTTAAATTGACCGTTTTCTCGACGTTGGGAAACCTTAAGAGAATGGGCTGAATACATAGGGTGTTCATATTACACTAGATTGGCATTATCAGACCTAATATTGCATCAGAGAGTTACTGGGATGCCTCAACTGATCAATCACGTGGTTCACTCATGGACAAATCCTGTTTTAACATTTTCTTAGATATCCAATCACTAACACAGCAATCCTAACTCTGTCCGAACAGCAAGGAAAACACAGGAGTCCCAAACTGGATACTCTGGCAATTAATATAATGGCATGCACAATCAACCCAATAATGACTTGTCAAGCTGATAGTCAATAAATAGAATGGGTACATATATCTAAATATGTTGTGTGTTAGATACCCGTTCACTCTCACAGGTGGAACAATTACAATACCACACAGATAATCACCTGTTTGCAGTCGGGTTCGTCTTTAACCTTTTGACTGCGAGACAACGAGGAATGTTCTCGGCAAATATCCTGAAGCTGTGCGTTACTACGAAGTCACTCACTTCCAACAACTAGACCGCATGAGGGAGTCTTTGCTGGCAAATCAGCTATTTTGCATTTTATTTGTTTATAGTACTGTACATTTAAATATTAATGATTGTAGTTTGTTGTTTTTAATAATTGAGTATTCTGCAGTTATTTTAAAATAGTATATTTTCAGTCAGAAGTTTTTTCCCAGATACATATAAAATTATACACCGCTTCAAGAATTAACTCCGAGAGTAAATACCACAACATCCCTGTATAATACAGTGGCACCTCGATTAACAAGTTTAATCTGTTCTGGCACTGAGCTCGTTATGTGGAAAACTCATCTTAAGAAACAAATTTCCCCATTTAAAATAAAGGAAATCCTTTTCACTCCCAAAAACATCCATACTTGTATGTCATTTTATAATGTAAATATAATACTGCACATGTAATTATAAATGTTTTGTTGTACTGTTTTCATGCTTACTTTACCTTATGAAGAGTCGTTGCTGGCTTGAGGGAGACGATGGGGAGGTGGGGAGGTGGGAAGGAGGAGAGGGGTTATGGTGTGGGAGGAGAATCCACCTCTGAGTCAGGCGGGTTCTCTCTTCTTGGGAATTTCACCCCACTGGGACCGGGTTGTGGTTCACTATCACCGGCTCTTCTTTTCTCTACTATTGCAAAGAACGTATCTATTGACAATTGCTTTTGTCTTTGCTTTAAAATGTTCCAAAAACGAGACAGCAAATTGGCATTAAACATGTTCACACACCGGGTTGTCACTGTTTTATCAGGGCAGCTTTTCCAAGAATGCTGTCACCTTTTCAAACATTCCCAACACTTCCCTGATCTCACTGGAAGAGGCAGCATCCTCCCTTACCTCCTCATCCCCTTACTAATGGTGTAAATTGTTGATGAGGACCTGCCATACTCCCTTGTGAGATCAGTCACACACCATGCTCATGCTTTGCTATAATTTGCTTCTTCAAATCCACAGTAATTGTGTCTTTCTTCCTCTTGACAACATTATCTTTAGCAAGCAGCTTCTTTGGCAACATCGTGAGTTACAAATTGTAGTCACAAAACGACAAAAAGAAAAAAAATGCAAATAAATGCAGAGGGATCCTTGTCGTGCGCAATACAACAACAACAACACTGGCGTCGGAGGCATCCGAGAATTTGCGAGAACCCACGAGACGCTAGGAAGTACCATGTGGTTTTGCTCGTTAATAGAGGTGAAGCTCGTCAATAGACAAATTTGCTGCGAGTGGCTCGCTCATTACTCGAAATGCTCATAAATAGAGCTGCTCGTTAATCGAGGTGCCATTGTACTGTACATCTATACAGATGTAATGGAGCTAGCACAGACCCATGAAAAAACTTTTGTTGTTTTTAATTGCTTAATGTCATTGCAGTTATCTAGTACAACAAGCAAGACTTTTTATCAAATCACAATTTGGTGTATCCCGCCGGTGTTTGAATATTTCGGACTACATTACCAATCAGATTAGCAGCAAAGGCTGTAAGACTTCCTTTGGGCAGTGCCAGGAACAAATTCACACGCAATACAAATGTAAATTTTACATTGTAGGCCTATACCGACCTACAGGTCAATTATTTTTAAATAAATCAAGTTATTCCACATACAGTATTGTGTAAACTAAATAGAATCAGAACAAACAAATCCTCTAACACATTCATCACAGCTCTCACTGCACTGACTTGGCTTGTCAGCAATATTACTTTGCTGCAGTCCACAGACCAAGTAAACCCCCCCCCCCCAAATCTCTCATTGTGCACAAAACACAAGATGACTTAGATATTAGTTTTTTTGGCACAAGCACACGAGGACCTGCGATAAAAGCCGTAGTTCAGCGGGTGTCTCTCAAGGGGATGCCTAATTACATAAATACTTGATATTAATGTGTTATTACTAGACATAAAACTGTTTGTAATACAAGTCTTACCCCACTGTTAATGATGGTAAGAAAAGCCTGTAGCCATAATGATGCCTGATGCTCATCTGAAGCTGCTAATGTGAGTGGGGCATCTTTCTTTCTCAGCAACTGAAAATATAAAATATTTTATAAGACATCAATCAAAGGAGAACCAGCGTTGAATGCAATGAAACGCCATTTTCTGGGTGAGACCCGGAGGCTCCCCGGAGCTATCCAGACTGATATAAATGTATTATACACTGGCATCAGTCAAAGCGAATCGAGTTCTTAGGTCTACCAGGGACCACTAGCCAGAACCTGGGCCCCTCAGAGAGGCACGAGGAGCAATGCCCTATAGAAACCCCCATATGGTTGGAAGCATTCTATGTCTGCCATCGACCAGGTCAGGTACCCAGAAAGGTAGGCACCCCATAACAAACCCTAGCTGGTTAAAATATTGCTACTGAAAGCCGAACTTTTGGACAGAACTCCCCCAAATGAAAAATGAACAAATGAGCATGACGTCATAACCGTCCCCATGCCACTGTCTACGCAGCTCCTCCCTCCCAGGGAGGTAAAAGGGGAGAACCCCTTTTTCAAACCATCAAACTCGCACTTGACGAGTTGGAACTCGGAGGATGCATTCATAGGTCCAAAGAGCACCAGTGGGGTTTTTCCAGGTGCCCTTAGGCTGACTGCTAAGAGAAGCCCAAACAAGGTTAACCAGTTAGGCTCAAACTACAAAGAGAACTGCTAAAAAACTGAACCCGTTATGTGTACAAGCACAGGGGCTTAGCAGAAGACCACCAATACAATTGATAAACCAAGGGGGCAGACCCCACTAGGCAAAACAAAATAAAAAATAAAAAATAAAACCCCACGAAAGCACAACGTTCCCAGGAAGAACAGAACCGGCCGCTGTGAATAATAGGAGACAAGCAGCACAATACATTGTGCCCCTACCAGCAACAATACCACTTCCTACCCAAGGCCAAACAGTGGCAACACAAACCCCAGCTGGGCCCAAGGGCGGGCAATTGCCGAGCAGCAAAAGACCCCTACGGAAGCGGTTCCCAAATACCATGTGGAAGAGAACCCCAAGACACAAGGGCAGTACTTACAGGGCACTTAGGGAAGGCGGCCTTAAATGCATGCAGCCCCAGTACTGATGAAATACTCCTGGCCTGTGTACCACACACAGCACAAGGCTGAGAACTGCATGGAGTCAGAGCTGATGACTGCCACAGTCCACATAAGCCGAGGAACTGACGGCTGTACCAGCTGGCACCGGGGGGGGGGGGGGGGGGGGGGGGGGTGGGGGTTCCAGGGCCCCCCTTCCCTGTCCTAGGGGGGGAAAGGGAGGAAGAGCCGTTTGACAGCGTTAGTGACGTTTGCCCGTTTTAGTTTGATAGTTTTGCCTATCTGTTGAGGTTTTTAATATCATTTTTTTACCATGTGGGGTTTGTTTTGCTACACCTACTTTTCTGGGTGCCAGACCCCAGTCGATAGTAGACATGGAATGCTTCTAAATACATGGAGGGTTTCCATAGGCCATCGTTCCTTGTGCCTCTCAGAGGGGGGCCAGGTTCTGGCTCGTGGTCCCCGGTAGGTAAGAACTCCAATCGACTGATGCCACGGTCTAATACATACACATCAGCCCAGTAAGCTCCGGAAAGCCGTAGGGGCTCCCCACAGAAAGAGCTATTTTTCAGAAAGGCAGATTACATGCAAAATTCAACTTGGATCTTGAATGATATGATCCAGGTTTTGGAGGTGTCTTAGTATTATACTGTAACCCCGCGATTATCCGGGATTCGAACATCCGAAAAACGCCCTTATACGGCCAAAATCGTGAACGGATAAAGTTATCACAATATCCGGCTGAAATAGCCACAGGGACCGGATTAAAGCAGGTTTTCTGCAGAAATTACACTATCCGGTCAGTCCCCCGGATAATCGTGCCTTTGTCTGTATATGAAAACATGAGGCGGGCCATACGGTATTAATCCCGTCTGCCCGAGACTCGAGGCGCATGGTGTAGGTGGGGGTGGGGTGGGTGGGTGGTGTTGGGAGGGTGGGAGGGGTGCGTCAGGAGGGACTACCTGGGTACAGGAATTACCATTAATTTTAGAACAATTAATCATAGCCAAAAACAAATAAAATAACTACTAGTAATTATGTAATAACAAATAAATACGTTTCCTAAAAGCATTGTGCACAGGCTGAAGTTTCCTTCAAAAATATTGTGAATTTTTTTCCTCCTGGCGGCCTACGTAACGCTATGGCTGCCCCAAGTGGACCTGTCCAACACTGGTCAACCCATGTGCGTCCGTCCCTCGTGTTATACACAGTGCTGCGCCATTAGTGAAATATTTTTTTAAATAACTTTTTTATTTTCATAGTAACTTTGAACATTTTTGGCCAAGACTATGTCTGGTAGCAGCATCAATCGTTCTGGAGGTGTTAAGAGGAAGAAAGTTGTCCTAACAATAAAAGACAAGTCACAGTTATACACCTCAACCAGTGCGGCCTCACAGTGTTGCGCCATTAGTGAAATATTTTTTTAAATAACTTTCTTAATTTTCATAGTAATTTTGAACATTTTTGGCCAAGAATATGTCTGGTAGCAGCATCAATCGTTCTGGAAGTGTTAAGAGGAAGAAGATTGTCCTAGCAATTAAAGACAAGTTACGTGTTGTTCAAACAGTGAGGCGTCACAGGCAGCCAAGCGCCTTCAACAAGTGAGGCGCCACAGGCAAGCCAAGCTCCTTCAACAAGTGAGGCATTATAGGCAAACCAAGCGCTTTCAACAAGTGACGCGCCACAGGCAAGCCAAGCGCTTTCAACAAGTGAGGCGCAAGCAAGCGCCTTTAACAAGTGAGGCGTCACAGGCAAGCCAAGCGCCTTCAACAAGTGAGGGCATGCAAGCGCTTCAACAAGCGAGGTGCAAGCAAGCACCTTCAACAAGTGAGGCCTCACAGGCAACCCAAATGCCCTCAACCAGTGAGGCTTCAGCAGCTGGCAGTCAAAACTAACTTAGCTTAATGAACTGTACAGTACTTTTAAGTGTTAATTTTAGTGTTGTGTTAGTATAGGTTACGTAAATTGTTAAGAATTTTTAACTTCAAGATGTGTGGCATCAATCAAGAAGACGAACACCAACAAGGTAAGTTGAGGTTTCTAGTTGAATATTTAATAATTGTATGTGGCAAGGCAATTCAAATTATGTTGTTTGTAGTATAAAAATTGTTGGAAATGGTCACTTTTGGACTCGTAGGTGAAAAAGTACCATTATCCGAAAAATGTGATAATCCGGCTGGGGGTCCTTCCCATATAGTCCGGATGATCGAGTGGAGACAGTACTTTCTATTACTTCCTTATTATTAAGATAAAATCAGTGAACATATAAATGTTGAACCTAAATTACACTTATTTACATGTAAAAATTAGAAGTTAACAAATTAGAACAACGCAAGCACACAACACTTAAGTGACAATCTAAATTATCAACTAAAAAGTGACTTACCTGAAAAGCATGAGGTCGTTGACTAGAAGCGATACGAACACAACCGACGCACTGCACCACTTCCACTATCAGATGGGGTAATCTTTCTCTGGCATCATTGAATTGATATAAAACACCAGCCCTGTAAAACAAATGTATTTGTATTTGTTGCTTGATAAGGGCCTTATAAAGACCACGAGAGATTATAGTAAGAACAGATGAAGATATATCACGATTGTAGAAACTTAATGGCTTTGTTTTTTAATCAATAGACTGGGTGGCTGATGAAGCAAGAACAGAGGACATTTGGATTGGCCAATTTGTGCACCTTATTCTGGATATTTTCATGTATCAACATGTTGAACAGGTCACGAGAATAAGAGAAGAGGATGCTCTATCAATGCTGGATTTAATATTTACCAGGAAAGAAGAGATTTCATATCAGTACTTTTCTCCATTAGCAACAGCAACCTTGTACTGTATTTTTGGAAAAACAAATATGCAATGTGATACAATCTAGAAAAGAATGGAGAAAGGAAAATCATGGAAAAACTTAATTTCAAGAGAGGACACTATAGGGAATTTAGCAAGTTCTTTAAAAAATTTGATTGAAAAGGTTTGTTGTCAAGCAAGGAAGTAAATGAGATGTTTGCCAAAATTTGATAGATATATGAAGATATAAAAAGGTATGAGGGTATGGTTTTCTCGGGGAAAGCCTCTTGTGGATCCTTGAAGCTAACTATCCATGGAGAAGGAAGAAATAGGCACTTATGGAGGAGAGAGCACTGCAGGTAACATAACGTAGAAGAGACAGATGGCCAAGAAAGCTGACCCAGGGCCACACAGGGGTGCTGAGGCCCAGAAACATTGACCAGATATTGGACCACTAAAACCCTGTTTGACTTCCAGACCCACCATGCCCTAATATCAGCCCGGGACATATTACAAAAAACGCCCGAAATGAGCCCGAGACGTCACCAACACAGCAGCAATTGCTGCAAACGTCTGAACAGCACGGGCGCAAAGACAGACCGCAGGAAGAAGGAAAACACTGCGGACGACCCGGGAGACCCGATCCCTGAAAACAGGGAACGAAGGAACCGGATCAACCACAGCGCATCCCCAGGCACGGTACGCTGGCAACAGCAAAAAGCACAACTGGACAACACAGGACGCACCCCCCGGCCAAACCAAACAAGTACCAATACCCCAAGAACCCCTCCGGAAAGCAGCCGTCTCGACCGTCGCCAGGACAGAGAAAGGCTGCACACCAATAAAGCTACCACCAGTACCAAAGAGGAGGAAACTGAAACCGAAGGGGCTACCACAAACTGAGGGGAAGAGAAGGCACCCTGAACAAGGACCAGGATGGCTCAGGCGACTCATGAGCAGGCCGGAGGGGAAACAAAACGCGAGAAAACGTAATAAACGTCATACAGTCTCCAAGACGAAGCTCGCAGGTGGGACACCGTCAACAAAGCCACCTGAACACCATAGAGATGGCGATACCTGCGTCAAAATACCAGACGCGAAGAGCCAAAGAGAGGGCCGAACCAGTCACGGACAGGACCGATTCGGCCTGCTGAAAGAGGCGAAGCCTCAGGAAAAACGCCCCGGGTACGGACACCTATCAAGCAGCGTCTGAAAAGAAGGCCGGGCCGGCCACCGTGGAACCATAAGGACTGTTCTCGTGGGAATGGGCTGCAACCGAGCCAGAACCCGAAGCAACAGCTGGACCGGGAGAAGAGGTACAGGTACCCCCCCACCTCGACCAGGCCTGCCGAAAGCCTCCACCGGGAAGTCCTCGCAGGTGGGAAGGGCGCCACAAAACGGGCGACGCCTAGACCACGCCGACCCGAAGACGTCCACGGCCAGGAGTCCATAAGCCCAACAGAGCCAACAAAACGAATCGGCGACGACTGGCCAACCCACGAAGAGGAATGAACCGAGACAGCTGTCCACCAAGACGCAGGACACACCCCGGACACGAACCACACGGTTAACCAAACCCCCTGTGGTTCCGGCAAGAACCACCAGAGAACAGTCCAAACAGAGCTGAATGGTAGAGTACCTAGTGACCCAAACCCTCCGAAGCGCAAACCAGACAGCCAGGAACACCTGAACCGGGCTGTGAGCCTGAACAGCCAAAGGCGGGACCACAGCCACAGTAACACTTCTGGAGGGAAGACAATGAGGGGCCCAAGAGCCTGAAACAAGGCCCAGGTCCGAACCGGGACGGAAACAGAAGGTAAAACCTCCAGATCACCAGGAAACCAAACCCAGCGATCTGGAAAGAACCAACCCTGGCGAGCAGACAAGCGGACTGACTGGGAGCCCACTCCAGCCAGTCGTCGAGGTAGGCCAGACACCGAATCTCAGACGCAGACAGGGCACTAAGATCCGGTAAAGATGCAAAGAGTATACAAAGTGCCCTTCACAAAATAGGGAATGCAATAAAAACAGCAAACCTGAAGCCCCACCACCAAAGCATTGTATGACAATCATATTAAAACATTATGACATATGACAATCATTATATGACAATATGACAATTATAATCAAAGCATTATATGACAAAGTGCTGGGAAGAAAGGACACCACGAGAGTAGCTCTCATCCTGTAACTACACTTAGGTAAGTACACATAGGTAATTACCAACCGTGCTAGCCCCAGAAAAACTGGAGAGGAACGTGCCAAGAAGTGACCTGGAGGTCCAGGTCCACCATCCATGCACCCGGCCCTAACAGAATCCGAACAGGAGACAACAGTCCTCCGAGCAGGGCAGAGGATCCAGGGTGCAGACGGAAGTAGTCCAGAAGAACTGCAGACTGGAAAAGCCCATGACTGCAAAGAGCAGACGGGAAAAGCCCATGACTGCAAAGAGCAGACGGGAAGCCCAGAAGGATGGGGCGGATCGACCACGCCCCACGCACCCACGAAGAGGAAAAGACGAAGCGCAGGGAAGAAGCCCACCCCGCCAGCTCTGAACCCCCCCCAAGGGGGAGAAGCCGTCCTCCGACGCCAGCAGAGGCCGGAAGACAACCCAAAGCGCCCACCAACAGCGGGACCAAGCGAGAGGCAACAGAGCAAGCTGCTCCCCCAGCGCCCAGGCAACAGAGAAGGGAACAGAACCCCTTCAGAAAGAAAAAGTACACTACCGAAGTCATGAGGAGAGACTACGGGAATGAAACCACACTTCGCTGGAAGAGGAAGTGAGGGGAGACCTGATCACCACATACAAGATACCCAAGGGAATCGACAGGTTTGAGAAGGACAGGCTATGTAACACAAGGGGCACACGCACTAGGGGACACAGGTGGAAACTGAGTACCCAAAAGAGCCACAGATAGAATTAAAGTTTTTTTTTTTTTTTTTTTTTTGTCAGAATGGGAACGGGAAAGCACGAAGAAGTAATGTGGCGACTCCTCACACAAGTAACGAGGCTGACCCCCATACAATGTCACATGTAGACATGACAGAGCCCAAGAGGCACAGGAACCGATACACCTGTTGACGGACGGTTGAGAGGCAGGACCAAGGAGCCAGAGCTCAACCCCCACAAGCACAACTAGGTGAGGACATATATTGTAAAAGCACAAGCCGCCGACTAGTGGCAAAGAGCACTACGCCGGCCAGGCAAAGAAGGCACAAAACTGCATCTAAAGGCCCACCTCGACAGCAAAACCACAAAGTCCCAGCACAACCACAACATGTGCCAAGACCCAAAAAGCTCAGTCTGCAAGCCAGGAAGACCCCGGAACCCCAAAAGGCAGAACCGGGTCACACGAGGAAACAAAGTCCCCTGAACCCACAAAAGGGGGCCCAAGAGGAAGAAACCTCCAGAACGAAACCAAGGAACCCAAAGGAACCCAGAATCGAACCAGGGGGAGCCCAAACCACCACATTTGCCGGCGGAGAACACCACTAAAAGGCAAAGCACAGACCCCAGCAGAACGCCCTGGAAAACGGTCCCAACAGACCGAAAACCGAGGGGCAAGGTGTGGGAGCAAGCATACCAGCCAGGGGCACTGAGCCTAAACCCAGAGGCTCAGACCCAAAATCAACACCCAAACGTTCCCAGAGGAACAGGCAACGGCAAGAAAACACCAAAAAAACAAAGAAACGACAACAGGAGAACAAAAACCCTGCAAATTTTTTGAAAACTCACCAGAGACGCTCGCTCGCACACCCAGACGCATGTAAACAAACCGCAACGCCGCCCTGGCGGCCACGCCGGGAAACCGGCAGACGAAAATGGCCGCCAGCAGGGGCTGTGACTGACGCTTAATACACAAAAACACGCCAGCAAATGTGGGAAGCTAGCAGACTGGAAGGGCGAAAAACGACGCCCAACAGCAGAAAAACCCCTGAAGGGGCAAAACCGCCCCAGAACTGCTAGCAGGCAACCCCCACAGCCCGGGAACCAACAACAGAGGCCCCGGGGCAGAGCCGTCCTCCAAGCCCTCCGCCTGTAAAGAAAAGCAAGAGCCCATGGGAAAGGCAACAAGAAAGGGCCGCTGGTAAGACCCAGAAGCCTTGGCAGGAGGCACAGGCTCAAACCTCCGTCCCCAACCCGAACGGGGCATCCCCCGAAAACCGCCCGAGTCTCTGCCGCAACTGAACCCCGCCCCGACCCCGAAACCCGCAGACGGTCCGGAGCCGGGAACATGGAGAGAAAGGGGCGAGCAGCACCTAACCAAACGGGGCGGCCACGGGGCATTCGAGTGGGGAAACCAACCAAGCATGTTGCAGCAACCTAACCTAGCTTGCAACATGGATGCCGCCTGTACTCTGAACAGTAATAACATCAGGAGAGTACTGGAGAACAAGCAGAGAATCACTCGCAAGACTCCGGGTCAAGGTGTCAGTGACCCAACAGGCAGCATGACGGAGGTAAAAATGGCGACTGTCACCCGGAGACAAGGGAACAGCAACCAACGATCCCGTTCAAGACGGGTTGGAACCCGGAAGACACATTCAATGGTCCCCCGAGCCCAGACAGGGGTTTCCAGGGCCCGTAGGGTAACAACTACGGGAAGCCCGGGCAAGGTGGTGCTAACCGGTTAAGAAACCCAAACATAACAAGAGGGTAGATTATAGCACTGAAAACCCCTGAGACGTGTACAATCACGGGGGCCTAGC